GAAATAATTAATTTGGTACTATTGGTGCATGCTTGAAGACCTTAAAGTCCCATGACATATAAAAAACATAAGTTGCAATAAGCTACTTCCCGGACTTATTTTTCAGTATTAATAAGGAATTAACGAGCAAATTAGGCTTTATTCGACAAAGTACGACATAGAATTTAATAAGATGGATCTGAGGACAATCTAACTAAGTTACACGAGTGAATTCAACAAGAAGGTAAACTGGTATAAGGATACATCTCAAGTAATATTCTACAATCTTCATCTCCACCAAATTCTCCCCGCCATAGTTTGGGTCCAAGTCTTCTAAGTATTTGTATACATGGAGAATTCTTAAGAGCCTTTGTAACATATGAAGAAGTTGAGAGTATGACATTTGAGGAAAACCAACTATTTAAAATATTATTTCTTCAAATCTCAACTTTTTAAAAAACCGTTTACTGAATAAAAGTAAATGTTGCAACCATGTAATGCGCCCTCAAGTTTGGGTTTTAGAAAAACAAGAACGCCGCGCCGCCACGAGGGAGCGTGGGTACCGAAGAGGATAGAAGACAGAAGAAGAGAAACCAAGTAAGAGCTTAGATCCGCCATTGTGGGTCTTCCAATTTCTTTTTATTTTTTAATTAAAATTGATAGTAAAAGTAAGTTTGTGTTTGGTAATTAGTTTGTGTAAGGATCGTTCACAGGTTAGTTGATTAAATGTTATTTTGTTTTTGAGAGTTCAATTTATGCAAGAGTACCTATTATCTTGTTCATTTTCATGTATTTTTTGTTCGTTTATAACCTTTTTTTATAACATGTGCATTGTTCATGTATTTAACAAAAATCGTTTCATGCTGTAAACAACACCGATAGAGGGTAAATTAAAAAAACTAGAAAAATTATGTGCTATCTCTTTGTGCTAGGATTTCGATTTTTGGATTTAGAGCGTGTATTAAGACCTTGTTGAATTTACTTACATTTTTCTACCCTGACGAGAGAATATCCTAACAAATTGAAATAATCAATCTAGAGATGTTGGCTCAAAAACAACTATAGCTGAGTAGCTTCCCGTATGGGACCTCAGTACCTGCTGGGAAACTGGCTAACTAACAAAAACTCTTCAGTATTAATTATAGGTAGTGTTGATTGAATGTAGTGTGTGTAATTGAAATTTTAGCGCAAGAACAGGGGCGGTACCTAATTCAAACTTTTATTGACTTAAATTATTGAATTAATGACTCACAATTATTATTAAAATGACACAGTATGTTTCGAGTTTTGAGGAATGTTAGATCGAGGGTTTCTCTGCCGTGCTCTTTCCCCTCGTTAGTTCCAGGATGAGAACGGTACGATTTACTTTAATAATAAAGTAGATTTTCACAAATTTTTCGTTTCTTTTACATATCACAACTTCCCTCAAATTTCCCAAATATTTGCTACGTCAGGCGCATGTCCAGTAAGTAAAATTGAGTTCCACAACGTAGGTCCTATTTGTTTTTCATTTTGTTTTTTAGAAGATTTGTTGTTTAAAGAAAATAAAAATTATCATCGTTCAATCTTACTGAACGAACCCGGGGTATGTTATACTACACATTCTCATACATCTGACTTCCAGGTGCGTTTTCAAGATTAGAGGTTTCTGTTTTAGTTATACATGAATCTCTATGCCATTTTGATATCTGCTCAAAGCATAATTGAGATTGGCTCCTAATAGTTTGGCTTTTTTGACCAGGGGATTATAATTTACCATTTATTACTTTCTTTCTGACTAATACAGGGCCTGGACATAAAAAATTGACAAAATGGCTCGGGAAATAACGTTCCAAAAAGTAGTTTTTCTTTGAATATGAAACATTTTTCGTCAGGAAATAATAGATACGCAAAGAAGTGATCCAACTGATAAAATAGCATGTTAGGCTTCATTTAGGAATTCCCAATACTCAGTTTCAAGTCTTCTCATTTTGAAAGCCAAATTGAATTTTTGTTAGATAATTCCGTTTTATCTCTCCATTTGTCCCACTTTCGGATTATAAGGCATTGATCGATTTATGGCAATATCCTCGATGTGTAGATATTCTGAATGAATATGAGATCGAGTATGAGATGACATTCTAAATATCATTAATTTTATCATGTTAAATTACGGTGAGAGTTGAATTATCTGAACAAAGGAACTCGTGAAAACTCATTTACAATGGATAAAATGTACCTATCTATATACAGGGTGTATATTTTAAGTGATACCACTATTTCTATATCCGTAACGGTAAGAGCTACAGGGTCGGTTAAATTAGAAAAAAGTTGCCTTGTTTGATGCCCATTTAAGACTCGTTTACAGTGTTGCCAAATTTCTTTTAGTTTATGAAATACATCATTTATTTCGAAAACTATTGATTTTTGAGACACAATTTAAATTTGAAAGTTTTATCATTTTTTTCGCTCTTTCCAAAAATGATATAAAAAATTCAGGTCCGTATTTAAAAAAATGAAGTTGATGATGGTATCTCGATCACGAAACGTCGGATTTAAAATTTGAAGATGCCATGTTGTAGAGCGAAAAAAATTATAAAACTTTCAAATTTGAATTGTGTCCCGAATATCAATAGTTTTCAAAATAATTGATGAAATAATTTTAGGCCTTTTTTATAAATCGCCCTGTATTTCATAAACTAAAAGGACTTTGGCAACACTGTAAACAAGTGTTGAATGAGCATCAAAAAAGGCAACTTTTTTCTAATTTAACCGACCTTATAACTCTTACCGTTTCGGATATAGCCATAGTGGTATCACTTAAAATATACACCCTGTATATAAACGTGAAATTCACTCACTCACTGACTGACTGATTAAACACGAAATCTCCAAAACTACTAAACCAATCGAGATGAAATTTTGCAAACAGGTAGGTAATAGGTTGGAGATGCTCACTAAGAAATAATATCAACATGGCCTTAAGCAATCGCCTTAAATAACCAAAAATAAGAAACGGTGTGGTGCGGGAATGCGGGGGGAAAAGTGTAAACAGAAACAGACGACGCGTCAGCTGTCAAATTCAGAAATATGACAAGCAGAATCAAATTCATAGCGATTTCCATTTGCAGAATCAGTGCAAAAAAAAAGTGTTTTTGTCGTTATATTTTCATGCTTTCACCAGAAACGATTCGGAACAAATTCCACCGGTCCCAGGCTAAGCTAACTTCAAGTTTGAGACATGACATTCGCAATTCGTTCACGTATTCGGCAGTCTGGAGCAAGGTTCTGGAGTTTTTGTTCGGTTCCAAAACTGTTCGCGATAAAATAGGAACCTGAACCCATTCACAAGTTGGGTTCGGGTTGCTCACTCCGAGTTACTCCGATCGCACTCCAGCCGTTATCTGATAAGCTAAAAGGTAATACCCGAATCCGTGAAGAAAGCTATTAGAAACGAGTGGCACTTCAAAAAAATTTAACGTCAGCTGTCAAAAAATAGTCTTCATATTCTGCAGCCTAAAAGCAGAACAAAAAATGTGGTTTACAGAGAGGTGCTGCAAAAATAAGAGTTACATGACCATATGTCTGACGCAACTATCCCCTTAGCTCTTTGAAAGAAGATTACCTAATGCTACCTACACCCTATACCTACAAAATTTGTATAGGGCGTGCGAAGCCGCGGGCAACAGCTAGTTTTCCATAAAGGTAAAGGATTTTAAAAATCCATATTCAGGTCCTCGAAAGTAGCAATGACTGAGAAATGTATAGTATTATCTTATTTTCAGAGATTTTGGTCTCAGAACTGCACGATATAGATAGCTTCTTAGTTCAATCCAGTGGTGCCTTTTACTTATACCCGGATGACAAAGTGCTTGATGTATAAACAATGATTGTATTATTAGATGTTGTTCCAAAAAATCTGGAGAAAACGTCAACAACGGGTTTTACGGTTCCAGGCCTAATATGCTAATAATTCGAAATGCTGAGGATTTTTGATTTCTTCCACTTCCGGGTTTGAACATTAAACAGCGATTTCGGATCAGTTATCAATTTGCAATGTATAACAATAACACACACAACTAATCTGCCTCTACTATTGAATCCTCTGTTCACTAGCTGAAACTTGCATTGAGTACAACGTATCGTATCGTTTATTCGACGAGGCGGCGGCAGAAATGTGTTTTATCTTCGCTTCTCCCTAATTTTTATTTCGAAAAAAGATTCAAGGTCCAAGGAGGGTAGTGAAGAGGATATGCTAGAGCATGGAGACAATATAAATGAAGATAACCTACGCAAATAAGCAAATGACTGATAGTCACAAATAAACTCTCATAATTTAGTCCAATAACAAATACCTAACGATCGACATTCTGACAAACAGATTTTCATTCATAAGATGAAAATCTGTTTGTCAGAATGTTTCTGTAATAATTTATTGACTTGCAAAAATTTAAAAACATTGTGTAAGTTTCTATTTTCAAATGATTCACTACTCCTCGGGGAAATGAGCTTTTGGAAATATGTATACTTAGATAATGCAGTTTGTTTTAAAGCCGTCATCTAAGATAAGTGAAAAAAGTTGCATTTAAGCTGCTATCGCGATTAGCGCAAAAATAATCAGATAATATAATAAAGAAATATGCTACCCGTTTGTCAAGAGCATCTATTTAGTAATTTATCCGTATCAATTTACAAACTAAAAGAAGATACTGAAAACTTTTACCATTATAAAGCAGAAAACTAAAATTCCAAGTGTTCTCCTAGAGCCCCGACAATTTAATATCCTCAATTTACATATTTTATGACGGTCAGCCCTTTTGTTGGAAGTTCCTTGACCATCACGTGAGCACAACTTTACTCCGACGAACATTTATAAATAAGTAATAAAGCGTATTTGCAAGCTATGCATAACTAAAACTTACTATATGGACTTTGCTAGGAAAGCTCTAGGCACTTCAAATTAAATTAGACGATGGCAATTACTGTTATCACATGCAGAAACTCGATCCTAGGACTAATCACTTATAATTATAGGTATTAACTCATAAACATACTTTAATTCTTTCGATGCAGCAGGGCATAGCAGCAAATATGTCATAGGAATACATGCTGCCCAACATCAACGACGACCCGTCCCATCTTTTCCTGCAGAATCTGCAGTAAATAATTCGGCCGTTAACGCCCTCTAGGCACGCCATGCATACAACAGTCAAAAACTGGGTGCGTCCTTCGACTTTCACCTACAAAAAGAGATTAAAAAATTAAAAATCTAAAGTTGATTGTTTGAGTTTCTATTACCTCTATGCAGGATTTAGAGTGTTGGCTTGGGCTGAGGAAGAATGTGCCATCTACTAGAGGATATCGGTCGAATACTGGAAGCTGTTCTTCGCATAAGATGCAGTGAACTTTAGAGCGTCCTTGTGATGCCAAAGTTGATAGAATGAAGCATCTCGTGTCATCGTTTCCGTGATTTCCTTCGTCTTCGGTCTGGAAAAAAAAAATGGTTGAGATTTATTTTGGGAATCAAGTGGTAAACTTTTAGAATTAGGAGCTAAATAATTATATAAGAAGAAACAATGCTTTCACTAGGCTTAAAATCCTCTACCTGATGCTAGATATACTAATGTATCTTGTAATGCAATAGAACACTACAATTTTTCAATTGAAGTGACAAATTTTTGAATGATAAAGTTTGTGAGGCTTTCGCGGACCAGGTTTATTGCCGTCGAAATTCCAACTTACGACGGCCATTCCATCAAGTATATCGGTCAAATATATCTCTTTTATCATTATATTTATTTTTGAACTAGGCAAGATGCAAGAGCAGCAGATCTCTATCATGGTATCATTAAGGAAATTTGAGTACTTATGATGCCAAAAAATAGTAAAGTCGTCTGCAAACATGGAAAAAAAACACTGATATCGAGGTCAATGATATACAGCAGGAAGAATAAAGATCCAAGAATCGAACCCTGGAGAACATCCGCGTATCCCCAGGGTACCTATTCTTGAAGCCAGAGACCAGAGTGCTCATGAGAACGATTGCTCCGTCTTTCTCAATGTTATGCAAATGATAATATGAGTACCAAAGACGGAATAATCCTTCTCATGGGAACGCTTGTCGCCTGTTTCAAGAATAGAGGCCTGATTATTCAGAAAGACTGTCACCTAACTCAACCTGAGCGTTTTCGTGAGAACAAAGGTTCTGCCTTAGTCGCTCGTATTTATATTTCCATAACACTGACAAAGACCGAGCAATCGTTCTCGTAAGAACGCTGTTCCCTGATTTCGAGAATACACACCCTGGCCCAACTAGCAAAATGATATTTATAATGTTTGTATAAACAACTACACAACAAATGTTGATAAAATCAAATTATTTTAAAAGCAGTTTTTAAACTGTTATGCGATATCGACAGAACCAAAAAAGGTCCATTTTTATAAAATGTTTTAACGGTATTGTGTCTGCATTGTGATGCTATATAATCATTATACAATTTTTGTAGGCATACTTAAATAACTTTTAAAAAACTGTCATAAAGACACCCTTGTCGACTGCCTTATACAACGCATTTATTTTAAAAGGCAAGTACAAATTGCATTATGAACATATTGTTTGATGTTTGACAATTTTATAAGAGAGTATATAATGCATTCAAATACATATATATCTATACAGTGTTTGTATTGTATAGTATACGTTTTGCAAGAAAGAAGACAATGTCGATAAATGTTATTTTAACATGGCGAACAGGCGAAGTCGAATGTCTAGAAATATGCTCATGTGTTGTAAAATCTTTCAATAAACCGCATATCGAGGTGTAATTTTATGTGCGCGGAAAAATTTTCTGACAAAACTTATATACTTTTGCAGCAAAAAATACATACGCCTCTTCATTCATGAAAATTAGGTTCAATAAATTCGGTTGCATTGAAAACTAAAAATAATAATATTGATGATGTTTGCTATTTTTGGGCAAGATTTGAAAGTAAGTGATGGATTAACTACATAATAGCGGGTTTTCCCCGAAAAAATTATTATTTTATGGGTTTTTTGTATTACAAAATGTTTGTTCTACAATGGCGTCATACGAAAAAGCAAAAACACAAATAAAAATATGGCGGATTTTTTATACAATGCTTTTGTTCTATTTGCATCGTTATACGAGGCTTTAGTTGAGTAATTTTCTCTAAGGACGCGCTAAAAGTGCAGTTTATACATGCACTATTTAAAATTCCACAGGGTTGCCAATGTTAAAGTGGACTAAGACGAAAGTCGTGACAAACACTTTTTCTTCTCCACTTAAACGTCGAATAAAGGACCTTTTAACAGGATTTAAGCAATATATGAACAAACATTTACATAGTTAATTGCATGACCTGAAACCTTACATCTATTTTACTATTTTGTATTTTTTTTCTAACCAAAATAGATGATCTTAATACAAACTGCCAAATCTGGCAACCCACCCATCAGGATCGTTTCCACGTGCCGTTGAAATGTTTAAAATACCTAGTGGAAACGATAGAGAAAGGCAAGAGAGAACTAACAACTGTTGCCGAGTCATGAGAACATAAGAATACTTTATTTTGGCCAAAAAAATGGGCATACAAACTTCAGAAAGAAGCTGATTCAGCTCCAGAATGAATTGAAGGTTAAGTTGTATAACAGAGTTCTAGTAAACGTTTTATTCTGAAAGCGATAATTTAATGATATACGAATTTTATAATAGTTATAATTTCTGAGCTTATAAACGCATTATGAAATAGTTTTAAAGTAGTTCTTTAGAAGCTGTTATCTATTAATATATACATCTTCTATCAAATGGTTTTAAAGTAAGCTATACAACTTAGTACAAAATGTATATAAAACTGTTTTATAGCTATGCAGCTCTTTTATCTATCTTTTCTAACTGTTTTGAGAGGGCTTTGTAAAAAGTTATATAAATATTTATACAACGCTAATAAAACATAGATACATCTGATTACTGTTTGTTCTTTAATTTTTGTTGTATATTAAATCTTACAACCAAATTATAGAATAATTTGGATCATTCCCTAAAAGTGCGTCAACTCTTGGCGTTATAGAACAAAACTCTTCTCAAAAGGGCACTAACGGATGTCTATATAATACTTTTGTTCTTTTGGATATTTATTTTGCTAGTTGGGGGGGTACTTCCAGCAAGATACAAACCAATGCAAAATATTGTCATATCCCGTGAGCACTATTACGAGACTTATACAGTACAGTCAATCCCTTTAGAGAGGAAAATAACATGAAATTATGATTAGGTAGGTACAATGTTAAAATTTCAAAAAACTGGGTAAAAATAGGAAGGAGTTTTGAATGAATACGTAAAGAGAAGATTTCCTTTATATTGGAAAGAAAGCTTGGTCCCTGATAAAATAAGCCAGCTTTATGTCGCATAATATTTTCAAGAATGAAAACAATTGTCTAAAATATTATCTCAGAACCACTTCTCGATGTACCTAAATAGCCTTAATGTGAATATCCTATCAAAGCCTGATGTAAGTGCAAATATCGAAAAGCAGGAGACAGGTCTGAGATTGCTAATTACCGACCATCAATTTGTCATGAGTGTTATAAACATTAAAAACGAAAATATCAGCAGTGAAAAAATAAATAGTCGTATTGACTCATCACAGGAATACAATTTTTTTATAATTTTTTTTTTTAAAAATTTGTCATGGTCATGGACCGCTTTCAATTTCAGCACAGCACTTGGGCTGGAATAAAATTATAAGAGAAAAATTATGTATATAAAGTATTTACCCACTTGAATTATTAGTCTATACTGGATGCTTTTACTTGGATTTAGTAATATTTCTAATGCCTACGACAACATGTCTTCTTAGTTCTGAATCCAGCAAGTTTTCTTGATTTTTACTCAAGCATAACAACGATGTCACGATTGATTACTGAATTGGCTGGCCCCTCTGTTGTTCAGATTGAGCGAAAAAATATCTGATGAGAAAGTTGAAACGAGATTGCTATTTTCGATATCGCTGTTCACCTAATGGGGCCCATCTTGAAGCAAGGAAATCCTATAAGGGCAGCAAAAATAAAGTAGGGGTAACAAGCATTGAGAGTTTTGAAAAAGTTTCTTAGGAAACATCGTCAATGACATTGGTTTTGAAAGAATTTCATCCAAAATAATTGAAAATCAATTCAATACCTGCGGAGGAAGAATTTGATAAATGAGTTCAGTTTTAGATCGACCGCAAAGGCATATTATGGATACGTTAGGTTAAGTTGTTTTATTAAACTGCGGAGATTTCACATAGGAAAATTAATATTCAACATTGAAAATATACGCCACTTATTACCTACTTGTGATTACCAGTTAATCTGAATTCGCTCTACAATCTACAATCCCAAAATATTCATATAATATAAGTCATCGTTGTTTGGCAGAAATGTTCACTTAGGGTTAAGGTTCTAAGACATTCGCTACGTTGAAGATAATTTAAGTTTAATAAAATTTTCTAGCAAAACAGTACAAGATATTCGATAATTTTAAATAAGTTCAGTATATAAGTACTCGCAGATGAAATTCTGTTGAAACCGACACAGTAATAAAACATATTACACAAGCCTGAATCTACGTGCTGGGTATACCACGTTTGAGTAGCCACCAGCTTCCGAAAGCGGGATAGCTGAGTTTAGGCCTCCAAAATGAGTCTCAGCGATACGACAGTGTGGATTTCAAATTTATGCCTTTATAAGTGGTGAGATGGTGAGGTAATCAGGTTCATAACCAGTTTAGTAATGGTATAGCGTCGAAGCTACTACTACTACAACTGCAACTATAGTCTAATTAAATGGTAATTTTTTGGTAACATGAGTGCGGTAGAAGGTTTTTCAACGGAATTCTATATTTTTTTTGGGGTGCTGAATACGAATCTGAAGTTTGCTGCCTCATAGCAGAACCTGCTCAGGCAGAAAATCGGGAAAAACCTCGAAATTTCCGGACTTTTTCCGGTTTTTTGATCATATCTTGCAAACGGCGCAACGTTCGGAAAATGTCACTGTATTCAAAGTTGAAGAGCATAAAATGCTACGTGGAATGACTTCCCTAACCTTGTTACTGTTAAATTTGTAAGCTCGCCACAGTCAGTCGGAAAAAGTCAATTTTAATGAACTTTTGTGAAAACTGCAATAAACTCACTTTTAGACGACAGTGATTTCAAAACAACCACTTCAAGTGAAAAACTCGAATAAAAGTTGTACTTAACCAAATATTGAGTTCATCGAGCACCAAAACTTTAAATTTGGATCAGTATATACGCATATAATGATCATTTCTTCTTTTGCCCTTTAAACGCTTATTTGACAAAATGAAGGTGCAACTCAACGCGCCGATTTCTAAATGTGACATCAGCCTTAAGGATTACGGCGCAAACAAAATTCAAGTTCTAGCAAAAATTACTGTAAAACTTAAAGTTGATGATGTCCAAAGGATTGT